ATTACTGAAAGCAAGATAATCGTAAAACAAGACACATATGGTATAAAGAAGAACTTCTGAAAACAACAATAACAAGCAAGCTATTCTTTCGTGTTCTTAAGTACAGTATACAGTAACTGGAAACGTCTGGAACGTAAATGTCGGTATTATATCATTCTATTCAATCAAACAACTAAACGACTAAACGCTTACATATACATGATAAACACTTTAAATGCTTCGCTCGTTTTGTGAATTTTGTATTAATTTTAAGCAATTTTTTCCATTAAAAATAAGGTCTTCTTTTGTTGCGAACAATAAAAACAAAAAAAAAAAATTGTAACAAATCGATTATTATGCTTTTTCAACGTTCACTGTTTCCCTCCTTCAGCAGCTTGTAGCCTGTATTGCTTATCCACAGAGCAACTCATCTTCTACAGCTACCGCATAGAAAGAACTCGTTACTAACATAATAATGGAAAGGCTTCTCGCTCAGGCAATAAGCTGTCGAGTAAAACAAGTATTATTCAAACGAAAACAAGTCTGGCGTACAAAGTGGATGAACTGTTCTTTAGCTTTGCTTCCAACTTTTTCTTGGTAATGTTTACAATATATGGTCGAAGTTTGCCATATTGGTTATCAGATCAATACAGTTTGTATATATTTGGATTCTCATCTCGTTTATGCATTTGAAACTTATAAAGAGCGTAATTTTTCCTCGTTCCGGGAAAATTTGCACCTTAAAAGAAATAATGCCGGGGTAGCCTTCAGTCGTCCTTATCGGCTTTATTTATTTTCTCCTCCTAATACTATTATAAAACTCATAAGTCATACAGTCTTGGCTTATCGCCTCGATACGTCGGTATATAAAGAAAGTCAGTTTTCTCCATTCTGCCTCTTCGGCTCCTCTAAGTAAATCCAGCTTTCGGATATTGGCGGATTTTGTTCCGAACAGAGAGATGTTAGTCGCCTGACGGTTCAGTAAAGCGGAAAGAAAGGCAGTTATCATCCTCTTCTCTATACTTTCGTACGGTAATTTAATCACATTCCAAATATGTTAGCTGTCCTATCTCCTATTGGAAATGATATTCTCCGGTTCTTTCGTTCGACACTACATTGTCATGCATTGTTTAACAGTTACCGGAAATAAAGTGAAATAATCATCTAACTATACTTAATCAATCTAACGGTACATAATAATATAAAGTATGGACACGCATATGATAATCTTAACCTACGTATAAGAGGAAAACCAACTGCGTGATTGTGATCCTTACTTGTTCGAAGGTTTCCTTGCGTTTGGCATACATCGAACAATGCTTCTTCTTCTATGTGGCCTTCTTCTTCTACAAGAGGTTTGTCTTCTCGTATCGCCTCCCAATACAACGCAATCCATAATTGCGTCACTCTACCTACCCATACTTCTCTTGTGTCACCCAAAGGAAAAAAAACGCTTCCCAGAATCTCTGATTCTCTGATGATGAAATTCCCTTGGACACATAATTTGGAAAATTCAAGGTTCCAAACAATATGTTTTCTATACCTCATCAATATCACGTGTACCGCAACTTAAAAAGTGTACATTAATTTAGACCCACTAGGCTGTGAGCATCACTTTCTTATCTCTTTCTCTTCCCTCACTCTTTGTAATCGTCACAATTACATTACGCGAATAGACGACATCCGTTGATGGATGGATCGATTAGTAAAAAAAAAAAAATAAAATAAAATATTGAGTGCAGTTAACAATTTCGCTCGGTCTTGGAGTTTTAACTGCCTTTGCTTTATTCTCTATGCTCTAACGTTCTCTAGCACATAATGAAGCCTACATTTCTCTTTTAAAATCTCCAATCCGTATTGGATCGATCAAGAAAGCTACTTTATCTCCCTCACCAGTGTATGGACAAAACATTAAAAATTCTCGAAAATAAGAAAAAGAACTTTAAACGATCGATAACTAAGCAGCGAATCATTTACGTTCTTCATGAGAGACGATGTATAATCAACAATGGATAAGATGTTTTTACCATTATTTGTTCGAAAATTTGATCGGTTTCCATAACCAAAACTATAATAAATAATATTTTAATAAGAATGTATCAAGGAAAATTCAAAGCCCGGCTTAGATTGTATGATCCGTGAATCCATTTTGGTTACGTTTTTAATTTTCTAAATTTTCCATTAAGTGTATGAACTCGACTGTCGTTTCCGAAGAAACGACGAAAGTAGTATTGACTTCTTCTTCTTTAGAAAGGACTGCCCTTAAAGTTAAGCGCAGCTACATAAATTATTTCACTAAAGCTTACAAAACATAATTTCTTGTAGCTTGGAGTAGGTGTAGTTCTATGCCCAAAAAAAAAATATCTCATTATGAAATTTGGCTTTTCTTGCTTAACTCGGAGGATAGTGTTGCCAAAAATGAACAGCGACATCCGAAGTCCAAATAACTGCGACGCAGGCTAAGCGAACCATTAACATCGACAATGAAATTGGATACCCATGACTGATCCAATTTGCAGAAATCTGCTGGGGCTGTTCCCATCAAATAAAACCATCACCAGGGAGTCCTGTCAACAATAACAGATATGGTATTCAGTATGAAAAACTTAGGATCCATTCCAGGTTTGGAATTCTAATCTAAAATGGCCTCATCGACCACCGATTGCCAGCAGATTTGACACCTTCCGATTAATACGGATTTCAGAAGATCACTAATTGCTTGTTCGCTTTCATTCTTATGACTGTAACCAAATATGGATTCTTATGTGAGCTGCCTGGAAAGACCAGTTGTTCTGTTCACAGGGCATTGATATTATTTCTAAAAGATGGCAGAAGCAGCGGCCAAAGGTGGACAATATTTTGCATAGTAAATGTGCAATGAGTTTTTTTCAAATAAAAGCGCGACTGATGAGAAAAGGCGAAGAAATAAAGGTGCATATGTATATGTTCAGGTCACGAATTGAATTCTATTTTTTAGTAGCTTTTAGCGATTTCTTCTGGCAAAAAACAATTCCCTTACCACAGTCAACAGCGTATAGGTCTCGAAACACTCAAAGGCCGTCTCTGTAATCATTGAACATTGATTATATATCCTTAGTTTAGTCGGAATAATACATATAATCCCCCATGGTAAATGTCTTTACAGAAGTCAGTTTCTCTGTAAGTATCGTGTCGCTTTCGATCATCTTTTTCACATATGGCACTTCCTTCAATTCTTTCAGATTTTCGATGCATTTTGTTTTGAAAAAAAATACTGAAATATATTATATGGGAAATCCGTGAAAATACATGGAAAATCAAGTGCTACATAATTCAACTTCATATACGAATGGAATAATAGGTCCAGTTTTAAATAAATGTATTTGCAAGGTTTCTATACAAAAGGAATGTTATCTTATATAAAGTGTGGATGTCCAGTTCGCAAGCTATGCTAATATGCGAGACATATTTTCTAACCACTTGACTATGCGATATCGCAATGTCGAAGGATTGCAAACACCACACAGGATACATCCTCTTCCTTCCACACAACCGGCCGTAAGAAAATCCTTCAGCATACACTTGGGCTACACATCGCAAGTGAAGAATTAAGGGGTATTTCTACAGAAGACCATCTGTTCACCGACAATGCCTGTGATTTAGTTTGAAATTCTTCATTAGATTATTAATTACTATCTATCTACTATCTATTTTTTGTCCGATGGGCTCACTAATAAAATGGAACTTAATTTAAGATGTGGTAGAATCCTTTATTCAAGCAAAACATTTGACTACCGAAGTTAAGGACGCCTGTCGCAGCCGCTTAGGCAGGCCCTGACCAAAGCAACACCAATTCCTTCCAATCGAAAAAATGACAAACTTCGCAGAAGAAGTAATGACTTTTACTTAACGACTGGCTTGCCCCAATCCCCTGTAAATTTTTTTTTATTCTGCAAATCAATAACAGATGATTTACTGAGTTGAGTAAACAAAATTCAATGTGAAAACAAGTGAAAACGATATAGCCGGGCAACACCGATCGTTAAATACCCTAACACGATTCTGATTTTTGTATGAAAATTACTGTTATCCGTTAATTTTCATCACCACATATTAAAACTTTCTGCTCTACAAAGGATCAATTTTATTGGGATAATATCCAAAAAATAGACCGAGATGGTCCAAATTTGCTACAGTTAATTTTTTTATGTTAAATTACTTTTATGATATAATTCTTATCATGAAGCATTGAAAATTATAGCCTGTTGTCAGTTTTCGTTATATGAGAAAGAACGTGCCCCAGCCCGTCCACAGTTCACATACCAATTTAGAATAACGAAATACTACTACTTAGACACTTTTGACGAGAATTTTTGGAAATTGCAATTTTTTTTTTCATATAACGACTTTTCAGAATAAATCGTTTTATGGGGAGTTGTCGAAAAAGTGGACCGATCCGAATCATTTTCAATGGCATTCGTCCTTGGGTCAAAACGCATAACCAATTTTCTTCAGAATATCTCAAAAATTGCGAACTACACCTTGAACACAAACACACATGGACAGACGGACGGACAAGCTTAAATCAACTAAAATTATGATTCTGACTCGATCGGTATAATAAAAGGAGAGCCGATCTTAAGCCTATCTGCGTGTTACATATATCCGCACCCTGCACCACAAGCGGTGTAGAGTATAAAAAGTAAGTTCTTGCTATCAGTTCTTTACTTTTGCTTCCATCATCAACAGAAAGTCAGCTGTTACTAGACTTAATATACAAATTCTGTCAATACATTTTTAAATATCGAAAGCAAAAATTGTTGTTGTTGTTGTTGTTGTTACATTATTGTTGTTTATTTTTTCCTTTTTCTTTTGCGTCATTTTGAAACATTTTTATAAATTTCTTTTTAAACATTTTAGTGGCATTTAAAAGAAAAAGTCTTGATAAACACTTAGGAGGGATATTGAAATAAAATAAAATAAAATTGAAAAATCAACTAAAAAGTCAAAAATTTTATATATCAAAAAATTTGAATTTACGTGTCGAGAACAAAAAATTTCAAAATAAATTCATCCAATGTGAAAAGAAAGGCTGAGAAAGAAAGTGAAAGAGTTTAGAAACCTATCATTATTCAACGAGATACAAGCGAGAGATAAATGAATTAAAAAAAAAAAAAAAAAAAAAAAATAATAGAAAAAAAAGAAACTGTGAACAAGAGAACAAGAGATTCTTCCGAGCACTATGTGATAGCAGTGCCCAGCTACAACAGCATTAACAATTGAAATCGGCGAATAATTTTTGTAAATTAATGCAATAACAAAAAAACTCTTAAAATCAAATTTATGGTCTAATACAGGCGAAGGAGACGGCATTGAAGATTTTATTAAAATCAAGCATAACATAACAAAAGCAAAAAATTAAAAACAAAAAAAAAAAAAGGAAAAGAAAAAGAAAAAAAACTTATTTGTTGTTACGTGTTACGAGAAGAGAGTAACACTCAGTATGTTTCCCATAAACCTGCAACAACAATTTCATCATTTACATCTACAACATCAGCAGCAGCGTAAAGAGAAAACTGTAACGTTAACGTTACCATCGTTTAAGCAAAAAGAGCGTAAGGAGAAAAATCAACAGAGTCAGCATAATTATCGTACGTCAAAAACGATTAATCGTGACAGCCATGACAGCAGTACTGGGGACGTTGGCAACAAAATGCTCTCGCATCTGCCACATGAGCATATAAATCTCAGCCAAAGCAGTCTATTGCTCGATCATAATGTACTCGCCGATTGTCTTGGGACGGCAACCGAAGAAACGCCAGAAGAGGAAGACACAGACAATCAAGCACATCGACACTATAACGGCGACGAAGAGGAACCTATCATTATAGCTGGCATTGATGAGGCGACAGTGCCCTTAACAAATTCTTCGACATCGGGCTCGACAGTCACCCTTACAGCTAATATTCAATCATCGTCTGCCCTAAGACAAACAACACCGCATCGTTCGGCAGCGCGTGCCTCACAATCTCGCCGTTATTCACCGCAACTATATACGAATTCATTTTCAACGCCTCCACCACCACCAGTACCGTTAACTCTGCCTACAGAGCAGACTTCGTCGTCATCGTTTTTAACTCACGATTATAAGCTTTGTGATTCGTGTCGTCCGTTACGATTTCAAACACAATATCCGTCCAGTAATTTAACGCAAAAAAATTACGACACTTTACGTTATTTAAATACGAAACGACCAGCATCGTGTTCGGTAGGCCATAATTATATACCGCCTTCGCTAAACACACAGCTTCCGCCAAATCCGTTTTTTAATCCCTTACGTACATTTACACCATTCTCTCGTTTCCAGCCACGTCGTGCCGCTAGCAGTAATATGTCACAGTCCGGTGAAGATCTGCATTCGCCCAGCTATTTATCGTGGCGCAAATTGCAGCTGAGCCGAGCCAAACTGAAAGCGTCTAGCAAAACATCAGCATTATTATCCGGTTTCGCTATGGTAAGTGCGTTAACAATCGATCTGATATGACTGCAAAAATTTTGTGAAAATATTTTTTACGTTTTGTGCAAAAAAAAAAAAAATTTAGTTTATATTGAAAAGATTTTTAACGAAAATTTCGATATCTAACGCCAAGTTTTCTTAAGTGATTTTTGAAATTCTAAAATTTTCAATTAAGTTGCAAGAACTGCAGAAAAATAAGTTTAATTGGAAAGTGCGCGATAATCTTAACCGAAAGCTCGAATAAAAACGCGCTTGCCAGTGGCGTGAAAGAGTCGGTTAGTGACATAAATTTGATTGTGAACGTGATCATATTACATATGTAGTGAAGTAATCACTGAATCAAAGAATGCATGTGCCTGTAATCAGAATATATCGACATAGGTTCTAGCGCGTCTCGATGTAAAAGTTCATATTCTATGTGAAAAGTTCATATTCTAAGTTAAACAATCAGTAACCTAAGATAGCAAAGTATATAGCGATTATCGCTTTAAATCTCGATAAGTGCAGACAACTAAAGGGTGAAGTTTCAAAACCAGAAGGTTTCCAAAACACTAGAAAATGTAGCAATTATTGTCCAAGTCCCGTTAGACTATGTGCGAAAGTCAATTTCCTCTACGTGTAATAAAACTAGGCAGTGAATATTCACCAGGTTGTTATATCGAAAATATCAGAACAGATCACGATTATCGGTTCATGACATAGGCTCTCGCCAGTCCCGTATAAAAGTAAGGCTCCTAAAGGTGGGAAAAATTTATCAGCAAACTTTTCAATATATGTACAAGTATTGATGAGGCCTACCTTATATCAAAGTATTAGGTAAACTCGAACTAGTCTCGGCATAAAGACAGGTCTTCGATTAGTGTAGGCTTTTAATCAACAAAATTTTCCTATTAAGTCTAAAATATCAGATAACGTTGCGATTACCCTCGACTGAGGATAAAAGTGAGTGCTCGATATGTCCTAATCTAACTAATGAACTAGTGAACTTTATCTAAAATACAAGAGTGTCCTTAGGGAAGTGTTTGTATATCAAAAATATCAGAATATGTTGCCACTATTGCTTTACAAATTGGTCTTCAGCCACTCTTAGTCTCGGTGTAAAAGTGAATATCCCATAAGTGTAACTAGCGAGCTTTTCAATCTGTGTGCATATTTTTACCGTTATATTGGTATATAATAGAATTTTCGACTTAAGTGATAGGCTCCACTCAGTCTCGGTGTGAAAGTGAATGCTCTTCACGGGTAATCTAACTACACAGCGGAATTTTTCGCCGTGTGCCCATCGGCCCTAGGCAATCTCAAGAGTTTTGTCTACGTGTAATCTAAACGATGAGTGAATTTCCTAATGCAAGTAGCTGCCACCACGAGTAATTTTGACAAAAAAAAAAGCATATCAAAATATGTTATAATTAACGGCTTTAGAGGTTCGATTTTTAGCCCATCTCGATATGACATTTGTAGACGTGATTAATCAATGAAATTAATGTGTAATTGTAGGCATCCAAACTGTCAAAATACATTGTGGTTCCCGCTTAGAAAGTGAAATTCCCGTATTCTTATAATTTTTTGTTTTTTTTTTTTTTCGTTTTTGTTTATCATAATATATTATATTCAGTTATCTTTTACATTGAAAATAACCGGGACGTAGAAAAGACATTGGGACAATGAAATTATCATATCTTAAATCATTCTTTTATAAAATGTAATAAGAATTTTTCCGGCGATTAAAAAACGTGCTTAGATTTATGAGTCTTGAAAAACATTTGCACCTGTTTTTATTTTATTCTACTAAAGATACCTAAACATATACTAAAAAGATCGTATTGAACTTGTTTTTCATAAAAATCAAAAATACAACAAAATAAATCAGAGACGTAGTGGCTAAGAAAAAAAATAAATAAAATAAAATAAAAATCAATATTTTAAAATTATCCTTGAACTTGAAAACAGAAAAACTTCACTATGCACAAGCTAACGATAAAGGCAAAATTTTATATTGACTATGATGGGAAAACATTCATGACTCATTTTCTATACATTCTACGCAGACAAACATTTGGTTTAAGAGGTCATTACTTTTAGCAGCGCAGAAAAAGCGGAAGGCATTGATTTATAATCGCATTGAAGGCAACGAATACGCTAAAGCTCTACACTTTTGACTTTTTTGTGAAAAAAGATAGGCAATTCAAACCATGTCATCGTAGTGGTATAATGGTAAAAATTTAACAGACTTTCCGTTTGATCGTAAGGAACCTTTTTCCGGTTCTTTTTGGTAAATGCAAAGGGTTTGCGTGCGTGTGATTTACTCAACTTATCACCATTTGTCCTTTAACTTTCACTGGTAAACTTTTACAGAAATTAGGACTTAGCTTCCCTTGCCGTGAGAACTGCGGTTTAGGGCCTTTAAAGCTAATTGTCCTACTGGAAAAAACATTACTTTCACGCAACATTAGAATAAACTCTTTGTGAACATTTCCCAAACCCATTGCACCAAACCATCTCATCTTGAGGTAAAGGCCGAGCTTTCTTTTTCAAGTGAACGAAAGTTGGTTTTTTATACCTCTTTAGCTCAAATCGATGTTTGACTTAGCTTCAACTTTAATGCCTCCCACCAGAACATCTGCAGTGCACCGCATCTGCCAATCTCAAACCAAAAGCATTAATGTATATCAAAAAATAGCAATTTCGGGTAATTTATGTAGATTTTTGTCGCTACTTTTTTTTTTTTTTGTTTGTAACAAAAAGAAAAAAACAAGAAATGCTAAAAAAAAATATTCGCAAAATTATTTCGTAAATGTATAAATATTTTGCAGCATACACCCAGACGTCTCAGCTACCTTTATCACCTTACTCTATACTGAAGCAATATAAAATGATATATATATGCGCAGGCATCTATTCATCAAATTCCTCACAATTAAAGACTGTGCTAATTAAAAAATGCTCATTCAATAACATGAAAATGAGAAATTGAATGAACTCTTATATCATTATATTATCTCTTATTCTTTTCTTATTTGAAATCCCTGTCGAATTTATTTTATTTCAAATAATCTTAGCTCTCTTTCATTTCGATATTTAAAAGATATTTATTATACGCCACCTATCATCAAGTATTCATTAAATTTGTAACAAAGTTTATAGACTGTGAAGACCAAAAAAAAAGAAAAAAAAAAAAAAAATTGCCATAGATTAGCATAAGTTAATCCACAATAAGCTCGCAATTAATTAACAGCAAATTTTTGGTTACAAAAAATAATAAGAATCTTTTGCAAATTTGTAAATAATTTCTGAACATTCAGGGAAAGTCTTCCAACTGACCGACAAATGTGCAAATAGGTAGTTTATGAGAACTGAGAGGCAGGGGGCACAGCAACCCATACGGGTCTTTGGGATCCAAGACATTTATTTATTTATCAATTTACAATGCAGTAACAGCCGTAGACCCATCTTAAGCTAGACATTAACACTACAAAATAAAAAGCGAGAATAAACGAAAAAAAATTCATAAATAAACAAATTTGTCCATATCTAGCTCGCAGTCATCCCCGCAGCCAGTTCCGAGCTACGAGTGAAGCATTACATCGAAACACATTTTAGTTTATTATTATTTTCAATTTAGCCAAAGAAATAAATTCTAAAGCTAAAGTCTTAAAGCACTAGCATCTAAAGGCTAACGACTCTATTGAAAGCTCTACCGCAGTTTGAACCCAAAGCCTCATTTTCGATGGCATATTGTGTAATACATACATATATATAATGTATATATCCAAAAAAGGGGTCCATCACAATAAAATCCGCCAAACTGTATTTTAGGCGCACGCGCATGTTATTACATTATTTGAAGCCTGATTCCAATAACAATGTACTGTAGCCCATTGTCCGATTCATCTAAAATGTGACCGTATTAGTGTCTTCTTAATTTTCGAAAAGGCCATGGAGCGTAAAATGCTAATTATGACAGACTGGAAAGTAAACAAGGGAAAACTTTATAATTGGACATGGCCCACAATTGAATACCCTACACCACCCTACAGTTATTCGCATCAGGACTTTTGAAAAGAACGGAACAGGTAAACAGTCTAAAAGTTGGTGCGAGTCCAACCATATTTAACAGCGTTTACCTTGGATCAAAATACATCGGGAAATTCAAATCTTGGAAAAATTTTGGAGACCCCATATAAATCATCATTTTTCCTCCTTCTCGTTCATTAACATTCCCAATTTGGTACCTTTATCTCTAATTTCCTTACGCGTGAACTGAAATCATCCGTTAGTTTTGGTTATGCGAAACACTGCATAACCATTCCGTAAAATCTCAATCAAGCAACAGATTTCCCTTTAATTTTACATTCAACAATTATTACTATATTATTTGGACTAATTCTACACAAGAAAAGAGAAAAATAGCAATTTATGATGTAGTTCGACCAGATCTGCTCTACCAAGTGGACATATAAAAAAGCAATCAAATCGGGTCAACATAAAACTTAATACTATTTTAGCTTTCCATCATCAAACGGTTCAGCTTTCCATGATGATCAAACGCTTCTTAATAATAATGTCTTGGAAAAACTTTCTTCTAAATGAAGACATTTCGATCAGATGTGTTAAAAAGACTCCGGGCGAATGTGTTAATTACTTAAGAGCTGCAGAAACGGTTTAAAAGGTGAATCTCACTTGACATTTTTTTTTTTTTTTTTTTGGAATAGAAGAAACCCAATAGAAGAATTCGAACTTTAAAAATTTTATTTACTTTTGAAAAATATTGAGAGATGACAAGCTTGGAGCCATTCTCGCTCATATCATAGTCAGAAGAAGGAGATATGTGCCCATTTAGTAAGTGTTGTAACTTTGCCGACTGAGCATTCTCCATAGGTACGAAAAAGTTCGTGATGAAATTATTTAAGCCTGCGAGCAAGGACTTAGTACTCGTTAGTCTTATCTGCTCAATATGGAGTGCAAAGTGGCCAAAATTGGGATTTAGAAAAAAAAAAAAATCATATAATCTACATATCTATATATAGGAAAATTCGAAAAGGTGTAAATGTTTAAATATATATGTATATATATATACGTATGTGTACGTCTATGTATATACGTATATATATATATATATATATATGATCGGAAAGTAATGGAATAAAATGTTCAATTTTCGATCGAAAGAAAGGAAACATTTGTTATTAAATAACGTTTGATTTATTTCCATCACACACTTGGCACAAAATCTTTCTCCTCCTTGCGAATCGCTCTCATCTTCATTTCTGGTTAAGACTCGTCTCGATGAAGCTATACGAACGTGTTTTAGTTTGCGAAATCATCCCTTAGATGAACACGAACAATTCCTAAAACGATCTGTTAGTGTATTAGTGGAGTTATAAAGCACCAGGCAAGAGATTTAAATAAATGTTTTCACATATTCTCAAAAATGCAAGAGGAACTATTAAGCCAATTCAAAATTTATGTCTGAAATATTTAGAGTGGATTTCCTCTATAATAACATAGCAACTCATGCGGAAGACTTGAAACCAATAGAAATCAAATATTTTTCAGTGGTTGCTTATGAATGAGGTCAAGTGCAAGTTACGTATTATAGAGTGCAAATGAAGTGTACATTAAATTCAAACGAATAACTTAGTATAGTCTCTTATATTTAGCCATTTTTTCTTCGTATAATTAATAAAAAGGAAAGCCTTCGGAATTTTAAAAATATGGTTCTAACGAAATCGATGTCGATCAGATTTGGTATAACGAACGCCTATGAGTAACATAGTGTACTAGTAAGGAGCACCCTATTGTATGTTCGATGTATCGAATTATCCGAACTAACTAGATTTACTGCCGTCATATGTTAGGATCTACATGCTTCGTATTATCTTCACGGAAAATGTGCTTAAAAACCGGATAAAAATACAGCTTTCAAAATCGCATAAAGGGTCCGGTTTTAAAAATTGAAGACTTAAAGAGCGAATAACTTTCATTGTCGATGATTGAAAAGAAAAGGGGTACTTTATTAGCCTTTGGAAAACGGACCAACAGTTATTTCATCATTTGAGTACCAAGCAGCGCTTTCGCGCTGTTCAGATTTCATGTCGAGAAAACCCGGACAGTTTTGAAAAAAAGCTGTCGAAGAATCCCATGCAGCGCGATCGCGCTGTTCAGATTTCGTGTCGAGAAAACCCAGCATATTTCGAGCATTGTCGACAACTGACGGTGCATTACGTATTGTCGAAATCGAGCGCAATACAATTACTCTAGGTGAAACAGTACTACAGTACTACAGTATAGTAGTGCAATAATACAAATTACAAAATAAAAATTTCTATTTTGGTGTTGTTTTTTCTATATAATTTTTATGGAACAAACTTGAAATATTTATTAAAAAACAATTTAAATACATTGTGGTTTGTAACATTGGTGTTTATCAAAACCCACTGGATGAATTCCTTTTCTATATTGCGCGCAAATTAAATGCGATCTTTTTATTACATTTTTGGTGCTACAGACGATGCATTGTCGCAAATTACGGCCTGGCAGCTTTTTTCTAATCCAAATTGGTATTTCTCGACATAAAGTCTAAACAGCGCGATTGCGCTGCCTGGGATTCTTCGACAGTGTTTTTTCAAAACCTTGTGGGACTCAAACGGTTAAGTTCTCCAGGCGAATTGCTTCTATTAAGCCATGAAGTACTTTTAATGCCCCCCACACCCCCCTCCGCCCCTATGCTTTTTCTACCTTCAAGACACGAAAGCACTTCCAACGATAACGGAACATAATTCATTTCTATGCCTATGACTAAATATGAAATTTTCTCTTTCTTTACAGGTAGCGATGGTTGAAGTTCAACTAAATAATGATACTCAGGTGCCGGGCGGTATGTTAGTGGCATTCGCCATTTGCACTACACTTTTGGTGGCCGTTCATATGTTGGCTTTAATGATTAGCACGTGCATACTGCCCAATATTGAAACCGTTTGCAATCTCCACAGTATTTCTTTGGTGCATGAATCACCGCATGAACGCTTGCATTGGTATATTGAGACGGCGTGGGCTTTCTCTACATTACTGGGGCTAATTTTATTCTTACTCGAAATTGCCATTTTGTGTTGGGTAAAATTTTATGATCTTAGCCAGCCGGCTGCCTGGTCGGCGTGTATCGTCCTTATACCGGTTTTAGTAGTATTTTTGGCGTTCGCCATACATTTCTATCGTTCATTGGTGACACATAAATACGAAGTAACCGTATCCGGTATACGGGAATTGGAAATACTTAAAGAACAAATGGAACAAGATCATCATATCGATCATCATCATCAGCACCATCGCAATAACGGACTTAACTACGGAGCAAGCGGTGAAATTGTATGAAAAATGATTATTACGATGATAAAGAGACTTTAGCTGTTAAGTCATGAGTTTTTATACTTACGTACATACATGCATATACATGATATTTAAGATCTTTTTTTTTTTTTTTGTTTTGTTTCCTTTTCCATTTTTCTTTCTATTCATAGAAAGTCATAGATAATAATAGTTTTTTTTTTTTTGTGTTATGATCTGAAAAAGACATCGATCAAGTTAAAAAGAAAAAAAAAAAAAAAAAAAGTAGAAAATAAATTTAAGATGAAACTTAAGCAACAACAGGAAACAGTAACTACTGCACTTTTTATTGTGATAAAAAAAAAAGGATTTTATTTCGTTTTTTAAATTTGTTTTCTTATTTTTTTTTTTTACACATATTTTATATGTCTTTGAATTTGTACGCTTGAAAAACAAGCAAGCAAATATAAAACCAAATTCTGTTAAAAAGAATATAAATTTATCATTTTTTTGAAAAATACTATTATTTTTTTATTAATGTTCCGGCAACACTGCAGATTTGAGGAATTTGTTAATTAAAATCAAAAGCAATATTTTCGGAAATTACATAAGAAATATCCATAGGTAATGACTGCTAAATAAAAAAAAAAATTATATATATTTTGATATTATTAACGTGTTATTTAAGATCATTTAAGATTCCTTGGCCAACTTTTATTTAATCAAAATAAAATATTTTTATAAAAAAAAACAAAAAATTAGTAAAAGTAAAAATTCTCTTAAACGTTTCCTCTCTGAAATACAATTGTTCGGTTCTTCTCAGCACATCTTGCTTTACTCTCTCATGAGAAAATCACAAAACTTATTTGTGGGAAAAAATGTTCGATTTTTTCTGTTTTCCTCAAGAATACTGTGCTTTTTGATCTTTTTCAAAGAATTTCTAGGATATGATAACCATCTTATGAAAAAGTTGTTCAAAAATATCAAAGCGAACTTCGAAAATGCTCTTCTGTCGCCTGTAACCTTACCGCAGCTCTTCTTAGAAGCTTGAAGTTGAAAATTTTGTTATTTTGTTTTGCAGAATGAAAAATTACTCGGCACAAGGTGAAGATGGAGTTTTCCATGGCTTGCAAGGTAACGACGTGAATTCCCAATTCGGGATCACCAAAAATATTTAGTCTAGAAGACTGTTCGGCATTCCCCGTAGAGATTGTCCAAGTCCTTCGGAAATATTTTCCTGAAAACCCTAAGAAATGTCAAGAAAGACATATCATATGAGCCTTCTAACGCCATTTTAGTGTTGTTTTCACAATAACCCGACCTCGGGTCTCACTTAGAACTGTTTAAATGTATCTTAGTGGCTTTTTTGCTATTGTTACCTTGTAGGATTCGCCACAAATACGACAGGCGTGCTTTTTAAAAAATTAAGATCGTATACTGGGCTGCCTAAGAATTTCTGCATCTCAAAGAACATCATAAAGATGAATCCATTCGTCAAGCAGCGATCTCTTATAAATATTAGTGGTCAACGCAGCAGGTCCAATCGATGATTTAAATACCATAACGTCGTAAAGTTTGTGCAAAAGAAAAATAAATTCATTGGTAAAAATGTTCACCGGAAAATGGCAGCTAAAATGGTGCAAAATTAATATAGTGAATGTACGGACATTAAAAAAAAAACCAAACCAAATGTTTCAAGTTACTTGAACTAAAACCCTTTTTATACCCTACACCACCAGCGGTATATATTAACATTTTGCGGAGGTATGCAGCAACCGCACGGACTTGAGGTAGGTTATTATATGGATCGGTTTAGAGTCACTTTCTGAATCGGTCTAAGCTTTTCTGCCCTTCTGCCAGTCATGTTTCATTGCGATCAATCCACAGACCATAATTTTTGGGATATTTTCACGACATTTGATACACGACGTGCTTTGGGCCCAAGGATGAATACTATTGAAAATGGTTTTAGTCACTTCCCATATAACATATTATTTTGAGAAGTCGTGAAATGTATAATCATAAGGTGGTGTAGAATGTTAATGGTTGGCCATGGTGCACAATACTGTTTTTACTTTTCCTTTTCTAAGAGAATAGAAAAAAATTCCGTAAGTGTTTTCCTAGTTCCTTGTCATACTAGCTGAACTATTCCTCAATTATGACTCAAATAGAGTAAGTGGCAAATCGGGCAGTGTTATGTCTTTAAAAGAAAAAGTTTAGCAAAACATAACACACGTATAACATATTCCAATAGATCCTCCAAGCTGCGGCTGAAACCTATCCATCTTTTTCCATTCCTTTCTCACTATTCTTTACCTTATTTATGCACCTATGCAAGAGGATATCTCCTGAGCGACTGGTCATAAAAAAAAAAAAAAAAAAATACCTAAAAATAAAAAGCTCTCTTTTAATCGACAGTGAAACAAATAAATCGGTGGTCACCTACTTATCATAAAGCAAATATTTAAATTATATAATGGATACTCAGGTATGTCATGCACGGGCTAGGTAAATCAACATTGTTCCAGGATGAGTGTGATAAATCATTACGTCTTCAATCTAAAATCACACTATTTATTATTTATTCATTAATACTAACTGCAAATATTTTAAATATTTTACGCTTTGAAATACGTAGCTATGTAAATATGAAACCGGAATTTTTGTATAAAAAATGCGCAATATTGTATTAAACATGATAAAAAATATTTTATTCGAAGTTTTGCCTACCGCTGACCACGCGTTCTTCTAACCTGTTTAACAGTTTGGCGATGCCATCCTTTAAAAAACTTTCCTTCGAGTCCCATTCAATACTTTTTTTAAACATTTCCGCATCAAACAAAGCTTTGCTTAACAAGTATGTAACTCATCGACGTAAATGAGTGAACGGAAGGATTCGAGCCTGGTGTGTAAGCCGAATGGACTAGTACTTCCAACTTGAGTGCTTTCAAAATATTGCGAACCGGTTTTCCAATACGGATGATTCGACAGATGCTGCATAATAAAAGTGACATTCCCTTAATTAATTGTTGCTAGAAGCGCTTGGCATTGATCGTTTTACCAGATTTCCCATCAAACAAATCGGTCTTCCGATACATGAGTATGATACAACTCAAATTACATGCAATTTTGATCTTGACGGTAATAACGGTACGATAGAAGAGCGAATCCATTTTTTATCGTTCAAGCAACAAGTTATGTGAGCCACGAATGCGCTTTTTTTGGCCCAAAAGTTGACATGTTCCAAACTATTACAAGCCCGTTGTATGAAGCTTGTGATATTTTAAGCCGAAAATCTTTGCCGATTGTCAATAAGAAAAACTGACGCCGATCATGTGATAAGAGTTCTTAAAAAGGTAAGCCGTTATATGGAAACTAGGTTTAATTTTAAGTATTATATGGGTGAAAATGGAGGAAGAATGAGTAATGAGCTCTTTAAGAAGAAATTCATCTTAAAAAAATTTGGGTCAAGTCGACTTTAGACCATTTCCCGCAATATAATGTGTTCTTATGAACACCAACTCTGGCAATGGGATATAATTTTTGATATTTTCTTATAAAGATAGGTGAAAAATCATATCGAGTAAAGTAGCGAAGGGATTTAATCATTACTATCAACAGCGTACGACATTTTAAGTTACTACGCCGCACTCCGTTTGTGGGTACAAAGGTATATTAAAATTGTCCCATGCAACACTCGGAGGATCTTGAGGTAGATCCACTTTTTGTATTATACCAAGCGGTATAGAATCGCTCTCTGTACCGACCTGTCCGTCTGTCTGTCTTGTTTTCTGTGTTGTAATTTTTGGTATATTTTGATGAAGTTTGGTGCACTAACCTCTTTTGGCCCAAAGGCAAACACAATTGGAAATGATTCGGACCGAGGCAAATTTTTTGGACCTCTTTCGTTATAGCGCCTTATTTTGACGGGGATAAAGGTGGGTCGTTGCACACATTAGTCTTTTCATGTATTTTTTTCTTATAGTCCATCATGATGATAAGTTCCAGTTAAAAGTGTATAATTTTTTTTTTTATTTGTATATATTTAATAGTAATAATAATAATAATCAAAAATAATAATAAAAAAAAAAAAAAACTTGCTGCAATATTATTGAATTTGATTTGATACACGCAGCCCTTAAACTCGTTAATAATTAAATAATTAATAATTATAATAATAATTTGTTTTTTTTTATTTTATTTTAATATAGAACTAATTCTAAATATGTTTAACATACGTACAATAGTAGTTGTTGTTTGTTAATTTGTAAGTGATAGTTGTATTATTTTGTTTTTTCTTTAATTATAATTTTTTTGTTATTATTAAATAATTTGCCTGGTTGCTGTTTGGTTGGTTGGTTTACGGTTGGAGTTGTTTGTTTTTGTTAGAAATATTCTAAATTTTTTGTTTT